CTGGCTGGGTGACTCTGGGCAATAACCAGGAGATGGTAAGTTCTAGTCCGGCCTTGGCAATGAAAGCTGGCTAGGTGACTTTGGACCAATCACCAGTTTGTTCCTTGATGTTGCACGACCTGTGGGGTTCTGCGGGGACGTAGTGGGCAACCTTACCAGTTCGGTGCTTCTTATCCTTCGCGTGCAAGTTAGCCCCCAAGGAAAGTAGGCATCGGATCGTGCCCTCGTGCCCTTCCTGTACGGCAGAACAAAAACACACACACAAAAAAACCCAGGTTTGAGCTCCTTGAACTGTGGTTTATACATTTCATTGCAATCCACAAGGCTTACCCGACAGGTTAATCCACTAGCCAATAGTTTGCAACCTTTACGTGTTATTCATCTATTGAATTTCTCCTCTACCCTCAGCTCAGGAGCAAAAGATAGAATAACAGAGTTGGAAGGGACCTTGGAGGTCTTCTAGTCCAACCCCCTGCTCAGGCAAGAGACCCTATACCAGCGATGGCGAACCTTTTTGTTGTGGTGTGCCGACAGTGCGCGAGATAGCACGCAAGCGCACATGCCAGCACCAATGCAATGCGCCCCCTCGCACATGCGCATGCAACACCACACCCCCCTACCTGCACTGCGCATGCACACGCCTCCCAGCGGATTTTCGGCCCATTTGAGGCCGTTTTTGCCCTCCTGGCGGCTCAAGGGAAGCCTCTGGAGCCTCTGGAAGCTGAAAACAGGCCCATTTCATGTTCCTCCTCTTCCTTCCTCATTAATAAGAAGTGTTTTAAAAGTCAAAAGAAGTCCATTATTTTGCAAATCTGTAGTCGGACATAATATTTAATTCTTTTGCGATTACACTGAATCGGTATGGTATTTAGCTTAAATACCACAAATAATTGGGAGATGCTTTGGCCTGGTGGTGAAGGCAACAGGCCAGAAAAAAGGAGACTAGTCTAGTCACACTTTAGGCACGAAAGCCAGCTGGATGGCTTTGGGCTAATCACTAGGAGATGGTGAGTTCTAGTTCCACCTTAAGCATGAAAGCCAGCTGGGTGAGTTAGAGCCAATCACTAAGAGACGGTGAATTCTAGTCCCACCTTAGGCATGAAAAGTGGTTGGGGGACTTTGGGCCAATCACCAGGAGACCGAGAGTTCTAGTTC